GCTCAAAATTTGGCTTTTGTCCATGCGTGCGTGCGTGTCCTTGTCTTCGTTCTAAATAATTTTATTCTTAATATAAATATATTTTGACTTTTCATTTTGGGTAGTTCCAACTTATTCGTAAAACTCAAGTTACTTAGATTTGCTTTCTAAGATTTTTATATTAAATTTATAAACCCGTTACAAGTGACCATAGATTTTACTTCTAAAATCTACACTCGCCACGGTATCATACCGTAACCCTCTGCATATAACAGGTGCCTGCCATCAAACTATAATGACTGTCATCATCTCGATAGATTAGATATTAGAAGATACAATAAAAGCGTAACGGGTGTGAGAAGAAAGAAAGAAAGAAAGAAAGAAAGAAAGAAAGAAAGAAAGAAAGAAAGAAAAAATAATAATGGCAGAGTCGGGTTGTCAGCAGTTTTCACATTGTTTTATAAGAACGAGATTGACGTCACATTCGAAAATGCGTAAATGCTCGCTACGAAGAAATTTTCTTGAAATGAAAAACAGTTGTACTTATTTTTCTTACTCGGATCTAAAACTGATTTTTTTTAAATACTTGAACGAAAACAAAACTGATTACTTATTTTCGACCTGCTGAACTATTCAAAAAGAAAATATGAAGACAAATTTTTGGCTCTATCGGAATTTCTTTGATTTCAACCTTTTAGTGAGGATTCAAACTTCATCCTAAATCCGCTTTCCAAAATTTAAAACACGAACGAGTTGAGCTTGAAATGCCAATTCGAGCTGGAGAGATTTTTGTTGTTTTGTTTTAGTCACTAGAAACTAAAATTTCTAAAAGAATAAAAAACAACCAATCATGACGGAGAGGAGTCTTTTATGTCATTAGCCCTAAGTTCTTTTAAAATATCTAAAAATGATTGCAAAGAACCCAAAATGGCGCCTGCCAGAAACAAGGAACTGTGTAGCAGAATTCAGATTTTTACTTTTGTTCAAGAATTAACTGCAAATAGACCCGAGTGGGGCAGGGGTGAGTGTTAAAGGAACGGTAACCGTAATTACGATAGTGATGTATTAGGGCGTTGATTTTTAACTTTCGATTCTTCTTTGATTGGTCAATTATTCCTCTTCTCTTTTCATTCCATACTCTCTCTCTCTCTCTCTCTCTCTCTCTCTCTCTCTCTCTCTTACATATTGTCTCTCAGCCTGTCTCTCTCGCATCCATTTGATTGGTCAAATATATTCTCTCTTTGATTGGCCATTTATTCTGTCTCTGTTATGATTACATTCAGAATAAAATAAAAAATATTTCTCCTCAGCCTCATTTTCATCTACTCGCACGACTACTACTACTGCAAATATTTTTATTCTTTCCTTTCTGTTATTCTTCCTTCCAGTTTCTTTCTTTCTTCTTCTTCTACTTCTTCTTCTTCTTCTTTCATTTAGCCTTGTCTTTGCTTTTCTCATATCCCTTCAAAATCCATTCACATTTCACTTTCATTCTTCCTTATTTCTAAATCTTCCCTTCCTTCTTTGCTTCTTATAGTTATTTACAAAGAGTAGTTTAGTCTGGCACAAGGCTGCAATAGTGTGGCAACTATTGAGGATCAAACCCAGTATATTAGTCTCGTAAAAAATATTAACATAGCACAAGACAGCAAAAGGGTTATTTATAAAATATACACGGCGACAATTAATTAATGCCTACTGGTGACATAAATGAATTGGCCCACAAGATGTCGGATGACTAGTACAGATATTTACTCGGGTTAATCTGGTTAATCTGACACAAGTCAACCGTAATGAGACATCCAGTGAATATGCAACTCGTTAAACAAGTAAATTGGTTTAGGGAAACGCTGAGCGCGCTACGGTAGGAGTCTGCTTCTTTTTGTTTACATTTTTTTTCTTTTCTGTTTCTTCGGTGTCTTTTTTTTTTTTTCTTTTTCTCTCTGATCTTTCTCTCGTTGTCAAATTAGTCATTTTCAAATTCCTTTTCTTTCACCGAGTTCTTTCTTTCTCCTCATTTTGCATTTTGTTTTTATTTGTCGGTTTTCTTCTTCCGCTTTTCATCTTCATCCGAATTCTGCCTGCGAAGCTTTCCTCCTCGCCGTTACTCCAACATATAAACTTTTCTTCCTTTCTTTCTCCTCTCTTTCTTCTTTTTCTACAATCTCTCATTCCATCATTCAAACTCATATATCTGTTCTTCTAATTTATTTTTCTTCTTTTTCCTCTCCGCCATTTTCTACTTCTTTCTTTTCAACCAACCTTATTTCCTTTTTCTTCTTCTTTTACTGCTTTTCTTCTTTCTTTCACAACTCGTTTCTTTTTCTTCCACATTTCCCCACTACATCATTTTTCTCCTTATTTTCCAATGCATCAAAATTTCACGCTTGTTTTGTCGTCTTTTCTTCTCCAAAAATATTCCAACTGATTGCTGCTTTGTGTCAATTGATTCTTTCTCCTTCAAACACTGCTACCATTCCTGCATCAGTACTTTTTCCTGCGCATTTTTTTAATGTTTTGTTTTCATTTGCAATTAAGCCATGCAAAAATGCTTTCAAAATGCAAGAAATGAAGACCTTTCCAAAGGTAGAAAGTAATTTATTTCTTTGACTTTTTGTTTCATTTGTTAAATAAAATTGGCGCCAAATTATGTCGCCCACAGTAGTTGCGTGTGCATCGCAATGGTTCAGGTCATAGTTGAAAGAAACAAATCAAAGATATCCATTATTCAATAATGATCTAAGAAAAGAAAAACATCTCTGCTATCAAACCGGCCAAGATTACAATTTGTTTGAAACAGAACACGAAGTAATTCGTGCAATATTTTAAGTACAGGTAAAAAGAGTTCATATTATTGACAGTGTTAAATAGTGACATTTGCTCATTTGAGAAAGAAAATGAGTAAAAAAAAACGCATTAATTAATTATTTCCTGAAATTCTCAGATTATTTTCATCATTCCATTAATTTGGCAGACATTTGTTTTAATTTCTTTATCAATGCAATTTTTCAGATGATATATACTTCGTTTTTGTCAGAAGTATGTTGCACTTGTTGCCATTTAAAAGCTTTCATTTATTTATTGAACTATTTATTTGTTTATATTCCTCTCCACAAAAGGAAGGTTTATCAAAGAACAACTTCTAATGGCCACCAAATACAACATGCATATGAATGAGGTAGAAGAGTGTATCGGTCTAAACATTATGTTGAAAAGGTGGAGACAGCAGCTCAAAATGTTGTTTCCACTCGTGGATGGAATAATTTATTTAAATATATATATATATATATATATATATATATATATATATATATATATATATTGAGACATGTTTCATTGAATAATTTAGACATGTTCAGTCTACTTATTTTCAATTGGAACCTTTCATATACACGGATAAGCTTTTCTGTTGTGTTCATCTGAAAGTTAAATTTCTTACTTGTGGAGTGAACCATACTTAGTTACCTCCCCTTAAACGGTGTCAGCGATCCCGCACTGAGTCAGCGTTCCTCACTCCACAAGTAAGATATTTAACTTTCAAAGCCGAAGGGGAAGTATGGAAAGGTTGGTCTATCCTACACCTAAGTAATCTGGCGCACGACCTATTCGCTCTAATAATTTTCTTAATCATCACAAGAACCCATCCTTCTCCATTCAAACAAAAAAAATAAAAAATCCATAAAAAAATGGACGGACGCTATATTCTGCCGATAAGCAAAATCAAGAATCTCCCTAACTAAGGACGAAGGGAGAAATCAATTTGGGAAGGAGGAAATATTTAAAACTGGTCCAGTCAAGATGAAAAGCTAGGTTAAAAAGCCTTGAGAGTTTGGGAATCTTGACAAGGGATCATAACAAAAGAAAACGTAGGAACCAGGCCGGGAGCGACAGTCACACTCACATGAACAAAAGGAGATTAACTTAACCATGCGTGGGGTTCCGTCAGGAATCCGCCCTGTTGTGACTTTAGGAGGAAATCAAAAGTGACTCGATTCACGTGAACCAGGCTTACTACTTTCACCCAACGTTTGCTGAAGTCTGCTGAAGGTAAACGCTTTCTATCAGTTCTAATCTTCATCCTGAGCTGACGACCAAATAATCCAATCAGATCCTGATGAAAATAACATTCGCCTCGTAAGATTCCATCCACACCACCATTTTTTCCACGGCTAGCAGCATGAAAAAAAAACACCCGTTTCAACCCTAAATGTAGCTATCGGAACCTCGATATATTTCCTCCTTGCGCAATTCTGCGCCCATGTTCACAGCTTCGGTAGACATTTTCGTTAATCTAGCCCTGACTACTTGGCGTTGATAGCGCTCGCTATCTGAATGCTCCACGAGAAATTGTGTTGCGCCAATCTCCCCAATAGGACGAACATACCTACCGAGAAAAGCCATTGGTTTTAATGGGAAGCAAGCAACTTTCTCAAAAACGCAGCTGAATATATTTCTCTATATATCCTGTCTGCTTTGCATGTCTTCTTTTTGTTTAATAAATTACCGGTTTTGTTCAAGTGGCGATTTGCTTGAGTAGTAAACATACAATGTCTTCTGTATTTCTATTTTCTCGGTGTTTTCTCCGTCAATGAAATATTCTCTTTGTATTAAATATAAACTCATTGGGATTATTTTCTGGTATAAAATAAACAGAATGTCATTCGAAAGCTTAGTACCTTGCACTGATCAAGTAATAAAAATGAATAAAGCAATATCATTAAGCAGACAGAGCATAGTGTATGTTTCAGTTTGTTTTTACATTTTAAAGTCGATCAGAAACAATTGTTTTATAGTTTTAACTTTGATAACCAGAGAAAAAATTATATTTCAATTGAAATCTTTTACTAAAAATTCAAAAATAAACACACAAAATTTCATCAATTTTAGATTACTTTTCTTTACTTTTTTTTTACCAGAAATGTATCCTGTAGAGAGCATCAATGCTTTAAGAATTTACAAGAAAGATTATCCACTTTTTCTAGCCCAGTCTAAATAATAATTATAATAATAACGAATGTATATCATGGTAAGCAGAGAGAGAAAAGCAAGAAGCGCTTGAATGAAGGTGTAGCCATTAGCTTAGAGGATATGGAAAGAACAGTTGGTAAGATGTCTAACTGGAAAGCAGCTGGACCAGACCTTGAGCAAGGTTTTTTGTTTAAAAAGCTGACTGTCCTGCATGAGAAGTTGCAACAATAGATCGGGGTATTGTATCTGTTATGGTAATTTACCATCGCACGCATGGACGCTCCCAGCTATAAATAGGAGCAGGTACTGCCTTTTGAGAGGGAAGTTTCCAGCAGTCAGCTCTGACAGTCGGACCGAACATTCTTGATGTAACACTCTCGTTTGTATGTTTGTATTACTTTTTCTGTTAATATATTTGTTTAACTCAGTTCCTCTCTTTTTGCCTTTATTTCTCGCCCTAACAAGGCTAAAACAGTATCAGAATGAATGATTAAGAAGAGGACAAACCTGACAATGAATAACACACTAAAAAGAAGACCTATTACTTTTAGATGAAAACTTTTGACAGGAATTCTCAACGATGAGATCTACCTACACCTTTTAATGAAAATCATCTTCTTGGTGAAACGGACTGTAGAAAAGGATCATGGGGTAATAAAAACCAAATTCTGCTGACAAAGCAATTCTCAAGAAATGCAGAAAACACTTGACGAACTTGTCTGTTGGCTGGATAGATTATCGCAAGGTCTAGGGTACAGTATCACACTCGTAGGTCTTGAACATGGTTGATCTGGACATGGTTGGTGCAACTAAGGACATTGTAACAATCATAGAGAATAGCAGGACCAATTAGAAAACAGTATTAAAATCGAAAGAAAATAACTTGGCGAAGCACAAATCAGGCGTGGAATTTTTCATAGCTACTCGCTATCACCTGTGTTATTTGCTTCTGTTGATACTGATTCTCAATATGAATGAAAAATGAAATCTTGCTAAATCTTTAAAAAAAAGGATCAGAAACAGCCTATCACCTGATGGATGATCTTAAACCGTATGCTGCCAATGATGACCAGTTAGACTAAAAATGTTAGAATCTGTTCTCAGAATGTCAGGATATCATTTGAACTTTATAAATGTGTTGTAATGAAAATGAAAAGCGAAAAATTATGAATAGCAAATGAATTGAGGTCTCTGATGTGGAATGGATAGCAGTCTCCGATGGGGAATGTATGCAAATGAATAGAGGTCTCCGAAGGGGAATGTATGCAAACGGATAGAGGTCTTCGATGGAGAATGTATGCAAATAGATAGAAGTTTCCGAAGAGGAATATATGGAAATGGATAGCGGTCTCCAAATTGGAATGTATGCAAATTGATAGAGGTGCCCGAAAGGGAATGTATGGAAATGGATAGTGGTCTCCAATGGGGAATTTATGCAAATGGATAGAGGTCTCCAAAGGGGAATGTATTGAAATGAATAGAGGTTTTCGAAGGGGGATGTATGGAAATGGATAGTGGTCTCTGAAAAGGAATATATGCAAATGGATAGTGGTCGACGAAGGGGAATGTATGAAAATAAATAGCGGTCTCCAATGGGGAATGTATGCAAATGGATAGAGGTCTCCGCAGGGGAATGTATGGAAATGGAGAGAAGTCTCCGCATGGGAATGTATGTAAATGGATAGAGGTCTCTGAAGGGGAATGTGAGCAATTGGATAGAGGTTTCGAAAGGAGAATTTATGGAAATGGATAGGGGTCTCTGAAAAGGAATGTATGCAATTGAATAGTTGTCTCCAATAGGGAATGTACGGAAATGGATAGAGGTCACCGAAGGGGAATGTGTGCAAATTGTTAGAGGTCTCCAAAAGGGAATGTATAGAAATGGATAGAGGCATCCGAAGGGAAATGTATGGAAATGGATAGCGTTCTCCAATGGGGAATGTGTGCAAATTGTTAGAGGTCTCCAAAAGGGAATGTATAGAAATGGATAGAGGCATCCGAAGGGAAATGTATGGAAATGGATAGCGTTCTCCAATGGGGAATGTATGCAAATGGATAGAGGTCTCCGAAGGGGAATGCATGCAAATGGATAGAGGTCTCCGAAGGGGAATGTATGCAAATGGAAAGAGGTCTCCAAAGGGGAATGCGTCCAAATGGATAGAGTCTCCGAAGGAGAATGTATGGAAATGGATTGATGTCTCCAAAGGGGAATGTATGGAATTGGATAGTGGTCTCTGAAAAGGAATGTATGCAAATGGATAGTGGTCTCTGAAGGGGAATGTATGCAAATGGATAGTGGTCTCCGAAGTGGAATGTAGGCAAATGGATAGAGCTCTCCGAAGGGGAATGTATGTAAATGGATAGTGGTCACCGAAGAGGAATGTTTGCAAATGGATAGTGGTCTCCGAAGAGGAATGTTTGCAAATTGTTAGAGGTCTCCGAAGGAGAATGTATGGAAATGGATACCTGTCTCCATAGGGGAATGTATGCAAATGGAGAGATGTTTCGAAGGAGAATGTATGCAAATGTAAAAGAGGTCTCCAAAGGGAATGTATGCTAATGGATAGATGACTCTGAAGAGTAATGTATGGGAATGGAGGTCTATTAAGGGGAATGTGTGCAAATTGTTAGAGGTCTCTGAAAGGGAATGTATGCAAATGGATAGTGGTCTTCGAAGGGGGATGTATGCAGGTGGATAGCGTTCTCCAAAGGGGAATGTATGCAAATGGATAGAGGTCTTCAAAGGGGAATGTATGCCAATGGATAGAGGTCTCGAGGGGGATTGTATGCAAATCGATAGTGGTCTCGAAGGGAATGTATGCAAATGGATAGCGGTATCAATGGGGAATGTATGCAAATGGATAGAGGTCTCCGAAGAGGAATGTATGCAAATGGATAAATGTCTCGGAAGAGAAATGTATGTAAGTGGATAGAGGTCTCCGAGGAGTATGTTTGCAAATTGTTAGAGGTCTCCGAATGAGAATGTATGCAAATGGAGGGGTCTCCGAAGGGGAATGTATGTAAATGGATAGTGGTCTCGAAGAGGAATGTTTGCAAATTGTTAGAGGTCTCCGAAGGGGATGTATGGGGTCTCAAAGGGAATGTATGCAGTTGGATAGCGTTCTCCAAAGGGGAATGTATGCAAATGGATAGAGGTCTCTGAAGGTGAATGTATGGAAATGGATAGCGGTCTTCAAAGGGGAATGTATGCCAATGGATAGAGGTCTCCAAAGGGGAATGTATGCAAATCGATAGTGGTCTCCGAAGGGGAATGTGTGCAAATGGATACAGGTCTCTGAAAGGGAATGTCTGGAAATGGATAGCGGTCTCTGAAAAGAAGTGTGTGCAAATGGATAGAGGTCTCGAAAGGGGAATGTATGCAAATGGATAGAGGTCTCCGAAGTGGAATGCATGCAAATGGATATAGGTGTCTGAAGGGGAATGTATGCAAATGGATAGTGGTCTCCGAAGTGGAATGTAGGCAAATGGATAGTGGTCTCCAAAGGGGAATGTATGCAAATGGATAGAGCTCTCCGAAGGGGAATGTATGTAAATGGATAGTGGTCTCCGAAGAGGAATGTTTGCAAATTGTTAGAGGTCTCCGAAGGGGAATGTATGGAAATGGATACCTGTCTCCATAGGGGAATGTATGCAAATGGAGAGATGTTTCCGAAGGAGAATATATGCAAATGTAAAGAGGTCTCCAAAGGGGAATGTGTGCAAATGGATAGAGGTCTCCGAAGAGGAATGTATGCAAATGGATAAATGTCTCGGAAGAGGAATGTATATAAGTGGATAGAGGTCTCCGAGGAGGAATGTTTGCAAATTGTTAGAGGTCTCCGAATGAGAATGTATGCAAATAGATAGTGGTCTCCGAAGAGGAATGTATGTAAATGGATAGTGGTCTCCGAAGAGGAATGTTTGCAAATTGTTAGAGGTCTCCGAAGGGGAATGTATGGAAATGGATAGCGGTCTCCAAAGGGGAATGTATGCAAATGTATAGCGGTATCCAATGGGGAATGTATGCAAATGGATAGAGGTCTCCGAAGAGGAATGTATGCAAATGGATAAATGTCTCGGAAGAGGAATGTATGTAAGTGGATAGAGGTCTCCGAGGAGGAATGTTTGCAAATTGTTAGAGGTCTCCGAATGAGAATGTATGCAAATGGATAGTGGTCTCCGAAAGGGAATCTATAGAAATGGATAGAGGCATCCGAAGGGAAATGTATGGAAATGGATAGCGTTCTCCAATTGGGAATGTATGCAAATGGATAGAGGTCTCCGAAGGGGAATGCATGCAAATGGATAGAGGTCTCCGAAGGGGAATGTATGCAAATGGAAAGAGGTCTCCAAAGGGGAATGTGTCCAAAATAAATAGAGTCTCCGAAGGAGAATGTATGGAAATGGATTGATGTCTCCAAAGGGGAATGTATGGAAATGGATAGTGGTCTCTGAAAAGGAATGTATGCAAATGGATAGTGGTCTCTGAAGGGGAATGTATGCAAATGGATAGTGGTCTCCGAAGTGGAATGTAGGCAAATGGATAGAGCTCTCCGAAGGGGAATGTATGTAAATGGATAGTGGTCACCGAAGAGGAATGTTTGCAAATGGATAGTGGTCTCCGAAGAGGAATGTTTGCAAATTGTTAGAGGTCTCCGAAGGGGAATGTATGGAAATGGATACCTGTCTCCATAGGGGAATGTATGCAAATGGAGAGATGTTTCCGAAGGAGAATGTATGCAAATGTAAAGAGGTCTCCCAAGGGGAATGTATGCTAATGGATAGATGACTCTGAAGAGGAATGTATGGGAATGGAGGTCTATTAAGGGGAATGTGTGCAAATTGTTAGAGGTCTCTGAAAGGGAATGTATGCAAATGGATAGTGGTCTCCGAAGGGGGATGTATGCAGGTGGATAGCGTTCTCCAAAGGGGAATGTATGCAAATGGATAGAGGTCTCTGAAGGTGAATGTATGGAAATGGATAGCGGTCTTCAAAGGGGAATGTATGCCAATGGATAGAGGTCTCCGAGGGGGGATTGTATGCAAATCGATAGTGGTCTCCGAAGGGGAATGTATGCAAATAGATAGCGGTATCCAATGGGGAATGTATGCAAATGGATAGAGGTCTCCGAAGAGGAATGTATGCAAATGGATAAATGTCTCGGAAGAGGAATGTATGTAAGTGGATAGAGGTCTCCGAGGAGGAATGTTTGCAAATTGTTAGAGGTCTCCGAATGAGAATGTATGCAAATGGATAGTGGTCTCTGAAGGGGAATATATGGAAATGGATAGCGGTCTTCAAAGGGGAATGTATGCCAATGGATAGAGGTCTCCGAAGGGGAATGTATGCAAAAGGATAGTGGTCTCCGAAGGAGAATGTGTGCAAATGGATACAGGTCTCTGAAAGGGAATGTCTGGAAATGGATAGCGGTCTCTGAAAAGAAGTGTGTGCAAATGGATAGAGGTCTCGAAAGGGGAATGTATGCAAATGGATAGAGGTCTCCGAAGTGGAATGCATGCAAATGGATAGAGCTCTCCGAAGGGGAATGTATGTAAATGGATAGCTGTCTCCATAGGGGAATGTATGCAAATGGAGAGATGTTTCCGAAGGGGAATGTATGCAAATGTAAAGAGGTCTCCAAAGGGGAATGTATACTAATGGATAGATGACTCTGAAGAGGAATGTATGGGAATGGAGGTCTATTAAGGGGAATGTGTGCAAATTGTTAGAAGTCTCTGAAAGGGAATGTATGCAAATGGATAGTGGTCTCCGAAGGGGGATGTATGCAGGTGGATAGCGTTCTCCAAAGGGGAATGTATGCCAGTGGATAGAGGTCTCCGAGGGGGGATTGTATGCAAATCGATAGTGGTCTCCGAAGGGGAATGTATGCAAATGGATAGCGGTATCCAATGGGGAATGTATGCAAATGGATAGAGGTTTCCGAAGGGGAATTTATGCAAATGGATAAATGTCTCCGAAGAGGAATGTATGTAAATGGATAGAGGTCTCCGAGGAGGAATGTTTGCAAATTGTTAGAGGTCTCCGAATGAGAATGTATGCAAATGGATAGTGGTCTCCGAAGGGGAATGTATGGAAATGGATAGCAGTCTCCAAAGGGGAATATATGCAATTAAATAGTGGTCACCGCAGGGGAATGTATGCAAATAAATAGTGGTCTCAGAAGAGGAATGTATGCAAATGGATAGAGGTCTCTGAAGAGGAATGTATGGGAATGGATAGAGGTCTCCGAAGGGGAATGTGTGCAAATTGTTAGAGGTCTCTGAAAGGGAATGTATGCAAATGGATAGAGGCCTCCGAAGGGGAATGTATGGAAATGGATAGTGCTCGCTGAAAAAGAAATGTATGCAAATGGATAGCGTTCTCAATGGGGAATGTATGCAGATAGATAGAGGTCTCTGAAGGGAATGTATGGAAATTGATAGCGGTTTTCAAAGGGGAATGTATGCAAATGGATAGAGGTCTCCGAAGGGGAATGTATGCAAATGGATAAAAGTCTCCCAAGGGGAATGTAAGCATATGGACAGATGTTTCCGAAGGGGGGGTGTGCAAATGGATAGAGGTATCCAAAGGAGAATGTATGAAATTGGATAGAGGTCTCCATAGGGGAATGTAAGCATATGGATGGACAGAGGTCTCCCAAGGGGAATGTGTGCAAATGGATAGAGGTCTCCGAAGGAGAATGTATGGAAATGGATAGAGGTCTCTGAAAAGGAATGTATGCAAATGGATAGAGCTCTCCGAAAGGAAATTTATGTAAATGGATGGAGGTCTCCAAATCGGAATGTGAGCAAATCGTTAGAGGTCTCTGAAAAGGAATATATACAAATGGATAGAGGTCTCCGAAAGGGGAATGTATGGAAATGGATAGTGGTCTCCAATGAGGAATGTATGCAAATGGATAATCTCCGAAGAGGAATGTATGCAAATGGTTTGAGGTCTCCGATGGCGAATGTGTGCGAACGGATAGAGGTCTCCGAAGGGGAATGTATGGAAATGGATAGAGGTCTCTGAAAAGGAATGTATGCTAATGGATAGTGATCTCCGAAGTGGAATGCATGCAAATAGATAGCGGACTTTAAAGGGGAATGTATGCAAATGGATATAGGTCTCCGAAGGGGAATGTATGGAAATGGATAGTGGTCTCCAAAGGGGAATGTATGGAAATGGATAGAGATCTCCGAAGGGGAATGTATGCAAATGCATAGAGGTCTCCGAAGGGGAATGTGTGCAAATTGTGAGAGGTCTCCGAAAGTGAATGTATGCAAATCGATAGCAGTCTCCGAAGGGGAATGTATGCAAATGGATAGCGGTATCCAATGGGGAATGTATGCAAATGGATAGAGGTCTCCGAAGGGGAATGTATGGAAATGGATGGATGTCTCCAAAGGGGAATGTATACAAATGGATAGAGGTCTCCGAAGGAGAATGCATGCAAATGGTTTGAGGTCTCCGAAGGGGAATGTATGAAGGAGTAAATACCTGCGGAAGTTTTACAAATGTACGCGAAACTCTCAATAAAATCACAGATACGATTAGTGCATATTCTGCCTGTAAAAAGACTTTGCAGACCCAAGTTGAATGGTGGATATTTGCTTTCAGACATCAATCTTGCACAGTCAGGTTCCTGAAATATGGTGTAGGCATCGTTGAATGCACAAAAGAGGGCCTATCAAAATCTGAACTGAAGGATAATAACAATGAACAGGTGCTCACATACTATGAGTAATAGGTCTTGGCTTTGCCCACCCGGAGAAAGTCGTTTGAAAGGGACAGAAAAATGGGTAACATCAGAATGTAAGTCCTCGAATGAGTACATACAGAATAGTCAGGAATTAATGCTAAATGTTTCACTAAACGAAAATTAGCGCTCCTATTGACAATTACAGGCAGCAAGATTTTGAATTACCTACACTCGACGATAATTACAGGCGGAACGAGATTTGAAAGACTCCATCTATTTCTCACTGACTTTTCATACAGAAATGATGTATTCCTTTCGCTCCTACCGACATGTAAGTACCTCAATTACAGACACTGAGGGTTGGTTTGAACTCTTCACATTTAACTTCATTTCTCATTTTACTTTTTGTAAAATGCCCTATCAATATATTTGTTAATACTTATTTGTTTAAATTCTATGTCTAATTTTTTTTTTCTCTTAGACTCACATGAGTCCACCAAAATTGTGACAGGAGCATAAAAATCTCATTAAAAGTTATTGTGGAAACAGAAAGGAAGTTTGGCGGATTATGGGAAGAGAATCGATGATTAGAAGTCGATACATGAAAGAAAAACCTCTTGTATGGAGTTTCTACACAATAAAGCCAAGAATAATCATGGAGGTGACTTAAAAAAGAAGAAAACCGAAGGGATGAACTGTGCAGGGCAAAGGCCAGACTTGAAGAATAAATTCAATCATGTACGCTATTGATAAAACAGTTGATTCACTCATGTGCAGGATGTGTGAGAAAGATGCAGAAAATGCACAACACATTGTCAGGGCCTGCACTTAGCTGGCGCAAAAAAAGAGGACAATTGACCCTATGACAAAGTAGGCCTCAGAATACATTAGGAATTATATAGGAAGTCGTATGACCCATACCTTAAAGAAATTTTAAAAAATGTACTCACAAGTACAACCCTAACCATAAGAAGGGTTTTATCTATGTAAAATATGTGTGATCTTAGGTGTTTTTTATTGTTTTTTTCCTCAAAAATGCTGAGTAGAAAATGCCATGATGCCATTTCTGACTTGGTTGGGGACCGGAAAGAAATGAGTATACACCATAAATCAAAGGAAATAATAATAATTATTATTATTATGATTATAAACTAATACCTGTCTCTCTCTGTCTCTCGCTCTCCCTTGTGTGTATATATATATATATATATATATATATATATATATATATATATACGTATATAATGTACATGTGTATGTATCTGCATTGACAGGGATCATATTGTACTTTTTTTTTCTTTTTTTTTCATGGCTACGGGTGTAATTTTCCTACAATGCTCTGCACTTTGACTGTCGTCTCTTTGAGTGAAAATTTAAAAATATATCTTTTAGCAGCTAGTAGGTTGAGAGATGACCGGAAAAGTGTAATTTTTATTCCCTTGCTTCTACCCCTTTGATTAATGAATTCTTTAATATTCCCCCTACCAATCTGTAGTATAGGTCCAGCCTACCCCATAAAATTTGATAAGTATCTGTCGTTGGCGACGGAAAATTGAACATTTGTGGAAAGTCACTTATGCCATGCTCCGACCATCTAAGGAATGGTAAATGTTGTACCATTTTTCAATCATACTTTTCCTGTAGTTTGATATGATTCTAAATCCTTTTGACTCAAGTTAATTCTTTCCTTTTCAGTTCCCTTTTCTCTTTTCTTTCTCTTTTTTTTTTTTTTTTTTTTTTGTTAACTCTATATACTAAAATCTGATATTCCCTCTTGGAGTGGTAACTCCGACTTATACTAAGTTAAAACTTAGTGTATGGTATTCAGTGTGGTAGACTATACTATTATGAACTATTCTACCTTCGGTATATTAATAAATCCACATTGTAACCAATCTCATTGTTTGGGCATGCTCTTGGATCTTCTTCTACCAATTTCAATGAATACGAATAAAATTTCATACCGGATCGACCGTCACCCGGGACAACAAGGGCCGCGTCCCTCAGAGAGGAACCAGTCTGAGAACGAAAAATCTGTCACTGGAACAAACTCTTCCACAAACGAAGAGACACTAGGTGACCAAACCCGGATTATTGCCAAACTTGGACCAAGTGACTCAATACCAAATCGACTAATAAAAAGTAAACGAACGAAATGGAGCCGCGAAGAGTATCGACAAGTCATGACATTCTTCTTCACTGCACTCGAAAACCCAGCAAAGAACGTCACCAATCAAACATACCAAATATGGAGAAGTATGGTGGGAAATGACATAAGACCTAACCTCAATCCAAACATGCTTGCCAATGTCCGTAGGGACATCATGCGAAACAACAGACTCTCGCAGGCAGAAATAGATAAGATAAAATTAGATATAAGACAAAATACTATGACACATCACTCAAACTCTAATGAGATGAATATAGAAATAAGGAATGTGACAGAGGATGACGTAAAAACTAAAACAAATGAAATACGAAATAATCTCCCAAGAAATAAAATCCAAGATTCTACTTTAAACACAACCTGCAGTTCTCCAGAAAATGTACCTGGAGTCATCTTCAGTGACAATAAGTTAGAATTCCTTGAAAAACCCTGAAGCTGAAATCACCGAAGCGAAAAATGACGTCATCCAAGTACTCAACAGAGTAACTTTCATACAATTGTCACACAGAGTCTAGCTCCCCAAAATCCATATGACGAATTCCAACAAGCACATCGTGAAAATTGCTCTGGAAACACTGTTAAACCACCGGGAAACATCACAGAAGTTAACAACGTCATATACGCAACAGCTTTAGCAGCGAGAAGGAAGCTTGGGGTCAAGACAATAAATAAAATTAACAGACACAGAGAACCAGCTTGGAAAACAAAACTGATACGAGAAATAAAACAAATCAGATGTGAGCTTTCTATATTAGATGAGCTCACCAGAAACCCTAATATTTCCACACTCAAGTGCAAAAAGATCAAGCGGAAATATAACATTAAATCCCTAATTGACATTCCATCAATCAAGGAAATGCTGAAGCAGAAACTTCAGCTGAAGGCACAGAGAACAAGACGATACGGAAAACGTTGTAGGTTCTATTGCCAAAATAAAATATTCCGAACGGATCTTAAGAAATTTTACAGGGAAATTGGAAAAACAACACCTATACATGTCGAAAGGCCACCATCGATTGATAATGTACAGACATTTTGGGAAAATATTTGGAGCAACCCAAAGGAATATAACCCAAATGCAGAATGGATCCGGCGTGAAGAACGAATGCTGGCTACACCTCTGCAAGAATGGGAAAATATATCCACAGATGATGTTAAGCAAGCTCTAACGAAATCCCAAAAATGGAAATCACCAGGAAATCACAAGGTGCCCAATTTCTGGCTGTATCATCTCTCATCTATCCATGAAATTCTTGCAAAACATTATCAACGCTTGTAAATAATCCCAATAAAATCCCGGAATGGATTACTGAAGGTATTACATACCTCATACCAAAAACAACTGAAACAGACGACCCGAAAAATTATAGACCGATAACATGTCTCTCCACAACGTATAAGTTGATCACGTCTGTACTGACGAACCGTACTTATTCCTTTTTCGAAACAAACAGCATTCTTCCGCTGGAACAGAAGGGATGCAGAAGAGGTTCATATGGCTGCAAAGATCAACTACTGATAAATAAAATGATCCTGGAAAATTGCAGGAGACGACTTAGAAATCTTAGCGCAGCGTGGATTGATTATCGTAAAGCCTTTGATAGTGTTCCACATTCTTGGATCCTTAAGACTTTGGAAATGTACAAAGTCTCCCCTGTGGTATTAAATTTCCTTAAGCACAGCATGGGAATGTGGAACACCAAACTATACCTTAGTCACACCAGGTGCACTGCCATGTCCAACCGTCTGAATATCCGACGTGGAATTTTTCAAGGAGACTCTCTGTCACCCTTTCTGTTTTGTTTATCCTTAATCCCTCTTACGCATGAACTAAACAACAGTAGCTATGGTTACAAAATAAATAAGAAAATATTCAATCACCTACTCTACATGGATGATCTCAAAATCTTTGCCAAAGACGACAATGAGTTGAAAGGCCTCCTCAATATTGTAAAATACTTCAGTGACGACATAGGTATGGACTTCGGATTAAATAAATGTGCAAAAGTAACATTCAAGAAAGGTAGAATTACAGAAACACCCTTAATAGATTTAGATTTTGTCACAAAGATTAGGGAACTGGAGCTGGTACTAAATACTGAGCTAAACTCAAAAAACAGAATATCAACCATAAACACATTGGCTGTCCCTGTGGTGCAATACAGCTTTAATGTCCTTAACTGGACCATAGCTGAAATTAAGCGAATGGACGCCAAAACGAGAAAGCTTCTCACTTGCTACCGCATGCATCATCCCAAAGCTGATGTTGATCGTCTGTATGTGCCCAGATCTGAAGGGGGCAGAGGATTAGTTCAACTAGAACTGTCCTACAAAACTACAACAATTGGCCTCCAAAGATACTTGGAAACTAGAGAAGTTTAGATGATGGTATGCGTCAAGGAACATGAAAGTAGTAAGCGTCTTTACTCCGTAATAAAAGAAGCCAACAAATTCAAAATGGAGTTTCAAATGGGCGTAGAGATGCAAGTACGGCACAATACACCGACTGAAACTGCAAAATACTTAAAAAAGACAGCAAAGACGAATTCAACCGACCAGATACAGAAGCGATGGCAAGATAAA